AATTAGTCTGCTCTGGAGCCCTCCTTCCTGAGCTAAGACAAAAATGTCTGAGCTGAAGGCTAAAAAACTGTGAGCTAGCTCACACTAACTCACCTTAGAGGGAACATTGGTCCCAGGTTGTGAGGGCTTTAAAGGTCATAACCAGAACCTTGAATTGAACTCAGAAACAGACTGGGAGCCAGTGAAGCTGTTTCACTTCCTTTCCTACCACCCAGCTCCATAGCTTCGTTTGCTCATTCAGATCTTGCAAAAGGGTAGGCCTGTTGATGTGTTGTAGAAAATAAAACCTTTCTTCTTTTCTTAATTTCTTTTCTGCTTTTCCACACTTTTCTCCTTTTGCCCCCTTTCATTCATGATCTGCCTTCATTGCTACCCCCACCTCTTCTAATTTTTCTCCCTCCCCCCATCTATTTCTGCTCCTTCTCATCCTTTGCTAATGACTCAGAACTTACTTAATAGTACTGTAGCAGTAAACCCTTGTTAATATTATGAACAGAAGAGAGAGTTAATATTTCCCCATGATCTATTAAAGTAGTAAAAGGATGCCACACACCCCTTTACATGCATGGTAATGTGATGTTGATCTGTCTTAGTGGTTACAGGTGCGCAAGAGAACTTAGAACTCCCCCCTTCCTTAATTAGAGTCAATTACATTTTAAACACTGTTCAGCCTGTGGGTTGTTCTGATTGTATGGGTGTGACATTTAATATCCCTTTGTCAATGCTCCTTTGCTACTGTAGGTATTAAGCTTCATGTTGTTTGAGAAATGACAGGTTTTCTTTAAAAAAAATAGGTCAACAAAATCAATCCCAGTGATCCCAGTACTTCTCTTCCAGCACCTCTACACAATCAATTTCCCCCTGCTTTTGTATTAGGTAGATGTAGGCCTCGTTCACACGGAGAAGTTGCCGCGCTAAAGACACGAATGACAGGCGTATTTTCAGTGTGCGATCACACCACAACATCTGGGAAGCGTAGTGCACCTGTGGCTAACCCGTGGCTTCCCGCTGAAGATGCAGAGTAAAAAAATACTGCAGAAAGCCCACTAGTTTCCGGAAACCGCGGGGCAAGGGGGGTGTCTGATCGCGTTTCTGCTTGAATCCTGTGGCATCTGGCACCCGTCCATGTCCCATCGCAAACTGGATGGGGTTTTTTTTTAAGTCTCCACAGGATGCGCACAAACGCCCAATGGCACATGCGCAAACGTCGGTGAGGGGGGGGAATTCCCATTTGCCATGGAAGCGGCGCCTAGCAATTGCCAGTGTGATCGCACTGCACCGCTTCAGGATAGCCATGTGATTGGCACCTAACGGCCTAACCACGGGAACTAGACGGGATGTGTGATCAGGCTGCCGTGCTTTACTTTGCTCTGGGGCAAACAGCCACACTTTCCCCCCGTGTTTTCTGGCACGTGTGATTGGGGCTCTAGAAGGGTAAACTTAAATAGATTTCTTACTGATTGACTTACTACGGATTTATCCTGACATGAAGTTTTTGAACTGCAGCCCACTTCATCAGATGCAAGGTATATCCTATACTGGTGCACATATATATGTATACAAATATAAAATTACAAAATTAGATGCATGATTTGGATCAGGGTCCTATGGGGGGGATGCAGGTGGAATCTTTCTCCAGGTACCCATGGTGGTCCTTGGCAGCGGAGGGGGGGGCTGCACACATCCCCTGATCTCCAAGCCGCAATTTGGCTTCCCTTAAATGCTGTTTTTCTAATGGGGCAGCTGCCCCCACCTGATCTTCAAGTGGCGAATTGCGGCATGGAGATCAAGGAAGGTATGCAGCCAAGAGTCACCCCTCTCCCTCACCTCCTGCAAGGGAGAGGGGCGGCCGTACACTTTCCCTGATCTCCAAGTGGCCTGCCTGTTCCCTACGGGAATGGCTGGCGTGTTGGGTCTTCCCTTTGTGCACACGCCTCTCCCCAGGGAATGAGGAGCCGGCAGGGCCCAGCTGCATTCTACGGAGACTCCTTTGCCTCTCTCTTGCTGGGTTTTTTTTTTGGGGGGGGTAAAGTGATCAGGTCCTCAGCTGCAAGAACTGTTCTGGACCTGGGGAATGTCGGCTGTGGCTCCCTCCAGGTTGTGTGCTTGAAGGCGAGCCGCTGTCCCTTCAGCTTCTCTCCCTCCCCATTCACAATCTGAGCCATAGGCCACTTCCGCATTGTCATTTTTGTCACTCGATTGTCCCTATTGCTTCAGGGTCCTCCCCCCCAAAAAATGTTTTGCTCTCTCTAGTAGTCCCAGAGGGAGCAAAACACATGTAGAAAAGCGGGGGGGGGATCAATAGGGACAAAAGAGTGACGAAATTGACAGTGTGGAAGTGGCCATAGTTTCAAGTTGAGCTACAACCACTGAGCAAGACACTCCCAGTTCCTGATCAGAGGAAACTTGTTAATTGAAGTTGCTTTCCAAGCCTGCCCCAGACAGGAAAAAGGACTGTGCCACTGATACAGTTGGCCGCCTAGGCATGGAAAGAGGATGTGGTGCCTAGAAAGGACCGGTAAGATAACTGGAGCAGGGAAGATTGTGGTGCTCTGCCCAGAAGAACAGGCTGCTTGGAAGTTTGGGGCACAACGAAACTGAAGGGGCGTATGACTATGAAGGGGGGCAGATAGTAGGAAGGCTGGAGAAAGTGCCTCTGAGGAGGGGAGAGGAAAAGATAGTCCAAAGCTTTAATAAAGACAGAGAAGTGCAAAGGGAAAATGTAACTGTTGTGACTGAAACGGAATTAGGAGACTGAATAATTACTGGAGCATAATTACGAGCTGGAAATTGGAAAAGCCAAAAGGGGAGGAAAAAATAGGAAGCAACTGAGAAGAGAAAACCTGTGAAAAAGAGTGTGAAAAAAGAGATACAAAAAATCAAGAAAGGGTAATAGATGGAAAGTACCATTTAGAATCCAACATGCAACATTTTTTAGTGATAAATGACTTTTTTTTAAATTATTTTTAAGTATAAGTATAAGCATAAAGGGTGCCCGACTAGAAAAATATTTGCCCCACAAACCAAAAAATCCCGGCTATGGCCCTGCCTCTAAGACCAACAAAGTTTTCTTCAAGGTATAAGCTTTCCTGTCCAAGCACACTTTTAACATGGCTAATTGGACTTCTTCCCCATTTTTTGTTTCAGGAATACAAGAGTTGGCACAGCATCAGGAAACATTGAGAGCAGGGGTCATTTCCTGTGGGAGCGCACAGGAGTGGAGCTCTTGGCAGTAAGGAGCCTAGGGGGCGGGCCCATGCAACATGCCCCTGCTCCCAGCAGCCCTCAGTTGGGCCACAAGGAGCATGAAGCAGCCAGGTAAGTTGCAGAGCCCCCCCCCACAGCCCACCTTCAGGTACAAGCTCTCCCTCCTCTGTGAGGGCAGATCTGTGCATTCCCCTCCCCCCCACAGCTAGCAATCCAAAAGAGTCCAGTGGCACATTTAAGACCAATTTTTATTCAGGTACAAGCTCTCCCTCCTCTGTGAGGGCAGATCTGCACGTTCCCCCCTCCCCAATAGCTAGCAATCCAAAACAGTCCAGTGGAGCCTGAGCGGTGGGTGTTTCCTTCTGACACACTTCCAGTGATGTCAGGGAGGGTGGCATATGCAAATAAGTGATGCTAATAAGTTATGCTAATTGTAATGTATTGAAATGTATTATATGAATCGCCTCATTCACCTCCCTTGTTAAGCTTCGAGCCAGCCAAGGCTCCTTCAGTGCTCACACACTATTGGTTGTTCCTGAACAGTGACCAATCACGGCAGGACTAATTCCATGAGTGGGAAAAACACTCATTGGTCCTTATCCGCACAACCTCATTGGTTGTTTAATGTAAATAGGCGTGGCTATATTAGCCCGGTAATGTTTAAAAGGAGCCTAGCTCCCAATGTTAAGTTGTTCTGGTTATGAATGCGTTCAAGTGCTTGTTCGTTACTTCAATAAAGCTGAATCACTTGCTGAAATCACTCTCTGGTCCTTTGTTAGCAGCGATCTAACACTAATGAGCTCCTGCACCTCTTTTTCTACGAAATGACCCCTGATCAAGAGCAATTAGAACAGCAAGGATAGTCTTGTGCTGCCACTGGGGCCGCTCCCTGGTGGTGCAGATTGAATGACTCACCAGCTTTGCAGCAGCACGGTGGGAGCTCAGTGGAAGCTCAGACAGGGAGAAGGCCCAGTGGCAGCTCGGACTGACTGACTCACCTGCCAGTGGGAGTTCAGACCAAGTAACACTGCACCCCCTCCCTGGTGGTGCAAAGCAAGCGAGTTAGTCAGTCAGAGCTGCCACTGGGCCCCCTCCCTGGTGGTGCAAAGTGGGAGAGTTAGTCCGTCTGAGCTACCACTGCACCTCCTTGCTGGTCGTGCAAAGCAGGCAAGTTAGTCAGTCTGAGCTGCCACTGAGCCGCCACCCTGGTGGTGCAGACTGACTGACTCTCCTGCTTTGCGCCACCAGGGAGGGGGCCCAGTGGCAGCTCTGACTGACTCACTCACCCGCCTTGCCTCACCAGCGAGGGGCGCAGTGGCAGTTCAGACTGACTGACTCGCCTGCTTTGCTCAGCCGGGGAGAGAGCACAGTGCCAGCTTGGACTAAGTAACTCACCTGCTTTGCACCACCAGCGACAGAGCCTAGTGGCAGCTTGGACTCACTGACTCACCTGCTTCACACCACCAGGGAGAGGGCCCAGTTTCAGCTCAGACTGACTGACTTACTTGTTTGCACCACCAGCAAAGGGGCACAGTGGCAGCTCAGGCTGACCAACTCGCCCGCTTTGCACCACCAGGGAGGGGGCCCAGTGGCAGCTCGGATTGAGAACGTCAACTGCTTTGTACCCCCTGGGAGCTGGACCCGTCCACTGGACAATTGCTCCCACCTCCAGGGTATTTTGAAATTCTTCGGATTTCAAGATCCGTGACAGGAGTTCACCCTTCTCACTGGAGACATCAGAAATGAAGACGCATCAGGAATCCTGGATGAGGAATGTTTTTCTTTAAACTCACCATCCGCATATTAGCAGCACACTGAGACCTCTGGTTGAAACTAACATCCAGATGGACCGGACCTGAGAATTCCTCCTTCCTCACACTTGTCCTGCCCCCCAACACCCCTCCAATGTTCTAGCCAGTACCTCAATAGTGGGGCCTCTTCCCCTTTTCCTAAGCAAATGGTGAGTTTCAGTGGAACTCCTGGTGGCAGTTGGCCATGCAAACCGTTCTTCTTAACAGCACCCTGGGAACTGGCCCTGTGAGAGTTCAGCCTGAGTCACTACCCTCCTTCCCCATCCTTGGCAGTATCAGGAGAGCAGCCTGTCCTGGCTGCATCTTTGGTGGCATCTGGGGGTGCCAGGGAGGAGGTCGGGTAGAGATGCATATGTTGCCACCCATGGAGTGGAAAGACAGGTATTCTTGAATTGCCAAGCAAGTGCTGGAGTCAGGAAAAAGTCCCAGCACAGCACAAGAGCTGCAGAAGATGAGCAATGGCTCAGGCAAACTAACCACCCACTTTAGCAGCACCAGAAGAACTGGGCTGGATGCAGCATGTTTCCTTGCAGCACCAGGGGAGCTGGCCTGGTGACATCTTGTTACAAGTAATACCTCTCCAGAATAGCGTCAAAAGAACCTGTCCTGTGGCTGCTTACTTTAACCCGGCAATCCCTTAACTGTGCCAGGGGGTCTGACCTGGAGGTAGCTCAGTTGGACTAACTAGTCTCCCTAGAAGTGCAAGGGGTGCCAAGCAATACTCCCTCTAAGCTGTGGAGTCTTGGGAGCAAAAATTCTACTTTGTGAGCTACTGGCATTAATGTTGTGAGTGAGCAGTTTGGCTACTGCATAAATTGGTTTGCTCTGGAGCCATCCTTCCTGAGCTAAGACAAAAATGTGTAAGCCAGAGGCTAAAAAACTGTGAGCTACCTCACACTAACTCAGCTTAGAGGAGAAGGAAGAGGAGATTGGATTTATACCCCACCCTTCATTACCCAAAGGTGTCTCAGAGCAGCTTACAAACTTCTTTCCCTTCCCCTCCCCACAACAGACACCCTGTGAGGTAGGTGGGGCTGAGAGAGCTCTTGACAGAAACTGCTCTTTTTTTCAAGAACAACTCTTATCAGAACTATCGCTTGCCCAAGGTCATCCAGCCAGGTGCAAGTGGAGGAGTGGGGAATCAAACCCAGTTCTCCCAGATTAGAGTCCACACACTTAACCACTACACCAAACTGGCTTAGAGGGTGGCATCCAGGTAGAGCCAGGGGCAGGAGGAATCCATGGCTAATCACCTCCTCTTGCAACACCAGGGGAGCTAGCCCAGCAGCAGGTTGGTCTGCCTAATCACCCTGCCCAGAGCACCTCCAGAGTTGCCCTGCAGCCCGTAGTTTTAGCTAACCATCTCCCTTGGCAGCAGTATAGGTGCTATCCCGGTCCATGAAATCGTCGTTCCTGCCTGGTGGCCATTCACCCATCTACCCATCCTCTACTGAAGCTGGCTGAGTGGCAAATCAGTTTAGATAACTATCCTTCTTGGAAATGCTCGGGGTGATGACCCCAGGGGCAGCTCAAAGTGGCTAATTGCACCACTAAAGTGGATAACTTCACCACCAAAGTGGCTAACTGAGCCACTGGAGCTCACCTTGTAGCAGTTTGGTCTGGCTACCCATCTTTTTCAGCAGCCCCACATACCTCACAGGGTGTCTGTTGTGGGGAGGGGAAGGGAAAGGAGTTTGTAAGCTGCTCTGAGACTCCGAGTGAAGGGCAGGGTATAAATCCAACCTCGTCCTCCTCGTCCTCCTCGTCCTCGTCCTCCTCCTCCTCCTTCTTCTTCTCAGGTGACCTAGTAGCATTAGTTGTTGTAGATTTTCCAGGCTGTATGGCTGTGGTCTTGGCATTCTGGTACCTGACATTTCACCAGCAGCTGTGACTGGCATCCTCAGAGGTATAACACAGAAAGATGGAGTACTTTCTGTGTCAAAGTGTCAGGTACCACAATGCCAAGACCATGGCCATACAGCCCAGAAAATCTTCAACAACCAGGGGTCATTTCCTGCAGGAGCGCACAGGAACGGAGCTCCAGCAATAAAGAGCCCAGGGGGCGGGCACATGCAACAAGCCCCACCCCCTGCTCCCAGCAGCCCTCAGTCAGAGAAAGAAGCAGACAGGTAAGTTGCAGAACTCCCCCCGGCCCCCCAGTCCAAAACAGTCCAGTGACATCTTTAAGACCAAGTTTTATTCAGGTACAAGCTTTCCCTCCTCTGCGAGGACAGATCTGCACCCCCCCCCCCAATAGCTAGCAATCCAAAACAGTCCAGTGGAGCCTGAGCGGTGGGTGTTGCCTTCTGACACACTTCCAGTGATGTCACGGGGTGTGGCATATGCAAATAAGTTATGCTAATAAGTTATGCTAATGAGCTCCGGCACCTCTTTTTCTACAAAATGACCCCTGGACATGCCTGCTATAGTGCATTCAGTTGGGGTTGCCAACTCTGGGTTAGGGGATTCCTGAAGATTTGGGGGTGGAGACTGGGGAGGATGGGGTTTGGGGAGGGGAGGGGAAGGACCTTAGCAGGGTATAATGTCCTACATAGAGTGTACCTTCCAAAGCAGCTATTTTCTCCATGTGAACTGATCTCTGTCGTTTGGAGATCAAGTATAATACTGGAAGATCTCCAGGCCCCACCTGGGGTTGGCATCGCTAAGCATTCTCCAAAAAGATTTCTCGTTACGTTTTTTGCTCCTCCAGCTTTCAGCTACTGTACATGAAGGTCCTATAATAAACCTCAATTTTTTAAAAGAAAGCCTGCAGGTGGCTAATGACACCTCATTCATTCACATTTTCTTTTAAAATCAGGTGTTATTCTAATCATGTAGTAAAACAAATATTTTAATTTATCCATTCGTTTCATTTCAGTCTTGGAGAAGATTTCTTATGGTATCTAACAAATATGACACAATCCTGCAAAATAACTGGAATAAGGACATAAGAAGAGCCCTGCTGGATCAGACCAGCGGTCCGTCTAGTCCAATTTCCTGTCTCACACAGTGGCCAACCAGTTTCTCTGGAGGTCTAACACCAGGACACTGGCACTGGGTTCAGGGGCTGACTGCCTCTGAATGTGGAGGTTCCCTTTATTCACCATGGCTAGTAGCCACTGATAGACCTATCCTCCATGTTTCCCAACATTTTGTTATTGGCTCCAGTATGCCCGTCTCACTGGAGAAGACCCTGATGCTGGGAAAGATTGAAGGTCAAAGAAGATGGGGACGGCAAAGGATGAGATGGTTAGACAGTGTCATAGATGCAACGAACATGAAGTTGAGCCAACTTCAGAGGACGGCGGAAGACAGGAGGGCCTGGCGGGATCTGGTCCATGGGGTCGCAAAGAGTCGGACTCGACTGTGCGACTGAACAACAACAATGCCATGTAAGGGTCCAGTTCTCCCACTATAGAAGGAAACCTTCTGGGAGTAACTGTTCCCTCTTTTCCCTACTGGTGCTCCAAAAGCTGACAAGAGGGAAACAGAAGGAAATGTGGGGAGCAACATCATTTCCAGAGAAACCAGAAGTGATTACAATTTAGGTCTTTCCTGCATTTGCCTGCCACTCTGGATTTTCTCAATATTCGAATCGAGGCGATTTAAGTCCGTGGCAAAACAGCATCCAAATAACCCAGGGCAACAGCAGGCTGAAACTGGGCTGGCCACTGAAGGGAGGTAATATAATGCGGAATGGGGGGAAACCCCGGGATAAAAAGAAGGTTGAACTCAATTTTAGTGCAGAATTGTTTGGAGGACACTGTGGTGAACGTGGATTAAAAAGAGAGCGCAGAAAGGGTAGGGTTGCCAGTTCTGGGTTGGAAGATACCTGGAGACTTTGGGATGGATCCAGGAGAGGGCGGGGTTTGGAGAGGGGAGGGGAGAGGCCTCAGCATGGTACAATGCCATAGAGTCCACCCTTCAACGCAGCCATTCTCCGTCTGGAGATCAGTCGTAAAAGCAGGAGGTCTCCATGCCTCATGTGGAGGCTGGCAACTCTAAGAAAGGGCCTTGGAGTAAATTCTAGAATGTTGACCCTGATGTCATGACATCACTTCTGGGTTTTTTCCTGGACGTGACATCAAGCACTGGTGGAGAGTTGCTGTGCCTGTCTCTACCATATAAAATCCTCCCCACAGGTTCTTCTTATGAATGTATTATTTCACCGGACTGGTTTAAGCACTTCTCCAGTTGTGAAGTTTTCTGACCACCAGAAATGGCAGATATAATTGCTGTTCAAGGCACACCTACACCTACAGGAGCTACTGCAGTGTGGTTAAGGAGGGCACCCTACTCCCTAGCTGGTATCACTGCAAAATGCAAACGGGAAGCCGAACCGGGTCACTTTTGAAACCCGAAGGCCTGGTCTTTGTTTTGTACCATGTCTTTGAAAATATGCAGCGATGTGTCTTTCCTGTTGCTGCGAGCCCCGATTATTTTGAACATCAGGCTGATGAGATCCTACTTCCTTAATTGTTTTTTTAACCTACTTCTCTCTAGTTGTGGAGCTGCGGTGGCTTTCGAGCAAGGGAACCTTTACCTTTACCTTTACCTTTACTCTCTCTAGTTAGTTCTGAGATTGGGCTTGCCAGTAAGGCTTCATGCTATTGAAAAACGAGGGAACCACTATGCATTTCTAATGTCAGTATGCCCTCAGCTGAAACCTCAGTCTGTAATGCAGACAGTCATGGCCTGATATTCAGGGTTTTCCCCCTTTCCCAACAACACTGGACTGTTCAGCTCCAGATAGGACTGCCAACCTCTAGGCGGTAGCTGGAGATCTCCCAGAATTATAACTGATCTCCAGGTTACAGAGACCAGTTCCCCTGGAGGAAATGGCTGCTTTGGAAGGTGGGTTCTGTGGCATTACACCATGCTAAGGTCCTCCCCAAACCATGAACTCCCCAGGCTCTGCCCCCAGAATCTCCAGGAATTTCCATACCCAGAGCTGGCAACCCTGGCTCCAGGGCTATATATTACCTTCCTGT